GAGTGTCAACACATATTACTCCCATTTGTTTTTATTTACAGCTCTCTCCTGGGGAATTTTTAAGATATATGTTTTTGTGCTATTCACAGCCATTGCTCTCATTTTGCACATGAAACACTGTTAAAAAAGCCTTTGACACGTGTTAGCTATGTCCTTAGAAATGTGGTATCAAACAATCACAGTAAGAGGGGACGCCCTTCTTTCACTCTCCCAATTCATATTCAGTTATACACTGGTCGACTCTGACGGTGGTTAAAAACTCAGCGGACCTAACTAAAGAGGCTTTGCTGATGTGATACCAGCCTGCTGTAATGGTCATTGTGATAAATTTCTCGCCTCCTTTTTTATTTAATTGTTTTACTCCACCTGATTTCCCGCTCATCAGCCAAAACTTTACAAATTCAGAGCCAAATAGAATAACGTTCAGGCTTACGCTACAACACTACTACAGTGCCTTTTAACCTTTGATTATGAAAACTGGTCTCAGATGTTTATAGTTTAATATTTTAAATCTCATCATCAGCTTATAATCAGTGCCAGCATATGTTAAGTTTGATTTTAGCTTCAGAGGTTCCACACACTTCTCTCAGATCAGTGTATTCACTGTGTATGCAGTAAAGTGGGTTTAAGTCTTATAAATGGTGAGGAATAGACTTGTGTTTATCACTAACTATATTTTTAGGTCTACAAGATCTTTAGAGAGGTGGTACTCTAGGGGTGGGGTTGGAAACCCCCGTGTTACAGAATATGTCATTGTACACATTTACAGGAGGAGCTGCGAGGGGGAAAGGAGACTCATTTGCCTTCAGAAACAATCCTAGTATTTACCTGTTGATTTTTATTAGTGCCTTTTTAAACTGCTGCCTTTTTCAAAGCACTTTATACAGCGGAATATGTGTAAAATTAATATTTGACTTCTTTTTCGCAAAGCACCTGGTGGATGAGTGTTTCGTCGGTACGTATGTAGTTAAGTTGAGGAGCTAACTTGTGCTGTGATTTTAGGAGCAATTTCCCAAGTACAGACAAGACAGAGACGTGCAGTGTGAGTGAAAGCACCCCCCCTTTCCTTCTGTATCTTTTACAGTGTTTTGAAACTGTAGCGGTTGTTATCTCCTCTGTGTGTTTATGCAGAGTTTTGATTGACTACAGGGCGTGAGGATGCTGCAGGCTTTTTAGACATGTTTTCATTTTCTGTAAAACAACTGAAGAGAGTCCATTATGTGCAGGCAGAAAGCTTTAGGTTATTGTCATGACCATGACAGCAGGCTCGGCACTAAGAAACTACAACACTGTTAAGAAATGTTGGGGCCCAGTTTAGTAACACTAAAAAATTAAAAAGGTGCTAAGTTATAAATGTTATACCATCTCATCAGAACCCCGAAGAAAGGGTGACTGAATCAAGCACACGCTCGCATGATAACATTGTATCATATACATCGAGTCAACGCACACTCTGTGAAAGCAGCCAAATCCAAAATAAATGTGGCAAAAAGCACTTAGGTATTCCTTTAATAGCTCTAGCAGCTCCTCTAATAATATCTGTCTGTGCTCGCTCCCTTCTCTCTGGTTTGTGGTTGAAATATCACTGGAGAAGTCAGTGCCCTTAAACCTTTTAACAGCCTCTCTTCTCAAGTTACATTTCCACACAGAGTTTGAAACATTTTGTTGAAAAGGCCATTAAGGATAATGATCCAGAGATATTAAGGATGCACGCTCCTTTTGAATCACAAAGCTGGAGTTAAATGTTCATATGTGTATATTTTATTAAAGAAAAACACTTAAAAACTAAACTCACATTTTAAGGAAATAATTTCTAAAACTAACTTTATTTAACTGACAGACCACACTGATATTAGCAAACCTTTCATTGTCTGGACGTAGCTCAGTGGAGGATATTCTCGGTTTTGTGCACACAGACAGAATGCTTCGTACGCACGTATTTGCCGTCATCTCCTTTTAAATGCCACTTCTTTAGTGAAGCAGTCGTCTCTGAGCATTATCACTGCAGAGTTCGCTCTCCCTCGCCGCACACGTTTGATCATTTGTCCCCGTTCCACTCTGATTCAGAGCCACCTTGTTTCAGATGCTGGCTCTCTCTGAATGTCATACTGTGATATATTCCTATCACATTTGAGGACACAAAAATGCTGGGGTCTTTTTCTTAAATAGGTGGGATGTTAATTTTCCACGTGTATATATCCTATCCTTGAAAGTATGCATTATATCAAGTTACACATGGTTTGGTCCCAAAACTCTTAGTTTTTTAAAATGCCGAATGACTCGTTCCAGCTACTGTAACACAGCAGGTTATATTCATCATTTCTTTTCTGATTTATTGATATTTGGTAGAGAAAAGGGGAATGTATTTATCGGAATCTTACCTTAAGTCAAAAGCCAAGGCCAAGAGTTTGAATGTTGGGCCAATGGAACCTCACATACATGCCAACCTTAAGTTTGTATGCACAACTTTTGTTCACTTTCATGTCAATGTTGTATGTGAGGGAGTCTGGAAATTGTTGTCAGTCATTGTCGGTCAGGAGACCTCTCCACAAACCTGGATTTTATTTTGTATTTGAATTATTATTTTTTTTTTTTTTTAACTTTAACGTTGATGTCAAATTTTATCCTACTGACTGAAAGCTTATGGGATACTGAACGAGAATCGGCAGCAAAAAAAAAAAAAAGGGCGATCCTTTCTATGGTCAAACACTGTGCCATACCTGAGTTGCCAATCCCAGATACCACTGCGTTGTCTCATCGTCATGGTTTTACCTATCAGTGGGCTGACGGCATGAAATGTATGAAACACAAAAACAAGTTGGGTGTGGTCTAGTGGCCAAAGTCAAAAAAAAAAAAAAGGCTTGAAATGATGTCACGGTGACAGGCAAATTATGAAAAGAGATTGCATTTCTTTGAAGATGTCAGTATTCTTCTTTGGCACATTACCACTACAACTCATAACCTGTATTAAAATGTATAGATGGTGGAACTTGTTATTGAATGTCAGAGAGATTATAAAGATACTACGTAAGAGATGGTAAAGTACTAAAAGTGGATTTTAATTGTGTAAAAAGATTCATAAAACAGAATAAAAATAAGATCAAATTTACTATTTTGTTTGTATTATATTTACCATTGTGTTGGCAGAGGGATATTGAACAGAAAATCAGCTGTAATAAAGTAATTTTAGTATAACTTGCCTCGTGTTTTCATTTACTTTTTTTGTCATATGTGGACTCGGTTGCTATAGTATGGCATTGCATGACATATTGTGTCATACAGAATATAATACTGATGCTACTCCCATGGAAATGCAGAGAGGCCAGACTGGACCTTGGTAAAACTGGTGGGTGGCTGACATAGGGATGATCAGTTACTAGCTTACTCTTACATAAAATATTATAACATAAACTAGATTTACAACATAAAATTGAATTTTAATAGCTTCAAATATGCTTGCAAATATCAGTGAAACAAAAGATATCATTTAAGAATGTTGCTAGAATGGTTACATGTAGCCTATAGCACAATTATCTGTATTTATTTGACATAAATATTAATAGAGAGTAATGTCAGTTTTTTCAATAGATACCCAGGCACTAACATTTAATACCAAAATGTATCACCACAGACCACACATTTTAGTGCTTCTTCTATATTTTCTCAAGATTTTTATGATTATAATGTTAATAATAATGTTTATTTCCCCTCAACAACCTCAATATAATGTGACCAAGTGATTCAAATTAAAAACCAAAATGTATCACTAGACTGGACACACAGAACACACCTCTACATATGGGGTCTTGGTGCTTTTTCTATTTTATATCAAACTGGAAAATGCAGGATCTTTTTCCTTAGTAACATTCATGTAATGTGACCTTGTGACTCAAATGTGACACCAAAAAATATTCATATAAAATGGAAAAAGGCCTAAAATCCCATATGAAGAGGTGTGTCCTGTGTGGTGATACATTTGTTGTAAATACCAGATTGCAGTTAATCTTTTATAGGTTAGGTATATGAATATTATGAACAATTTTCAGATATTTTGTCTCGTGTTATTTTCCCCATTTAAGGGGTTTTTGGTGGGAGCTGAGGTCTGCGGTCTGAGGCAAATTGTGATTTGTGATATTTGGCTTTATAAAGAAAATTTAACTAAATGTTTGATGCCACAAGTTTAAACAAGGAGATTTTTGAATACTGGAGGTGGTGGAGCCATGTACTTGTGGTTAGACACGAGTATGAGAACACAGCAGAAAGATGATTTGAGTTCATATATTAATCAACAATTTTATGTTCTTCAATTAAAACCCATCACCTACAGTAAATAAACTGGCAATGTTATTTCATCTTAAGGTTCATAATTAATCTTGGAAACAGTCCAGTTATATGACTGAGATATTATACCCTTGTGATTACTGAGCCACCTCAGAGGCAGCTGCAATAGCTCCATCTGCTGTTGAGGATCACAGATAGGACCCTGGAAAGGGACCTAATGTTAAGATTTATTTGTTTATTTATTTTTGTCAGTGAGGAATAACATGTAATGTGTGTGTGTGTGTGTGTGTGTGTGTGTGTGTGTGTGTGTGTGTGTCTAAAGACAGGCAAATACTGGAGAAAGCATACCCCATGGTAGAAATCCTCTCTCAAAGCATTATGTTAATGTTATATCCAGAAAAAAATAAAAGTGAAATTTTAGTTTTAAAATATAAATCTATTTGCAAACCTGTGAGATTATTGGTCTGACAATACTCCCTCTTTATCTCAGTTAGGGTTTGTTTTTGAACAAAACCAGCAGATTGTTTTATTCGTATGTTGTTACTGAGACAAATAATGTCCCTGATGTTTTGTAACAATATTATAAATACACGTAAACACTTTTCCGTGCAAGGTTTTGCTGAGCGTGACACATTAAAAATTACACATAATACCTCCCATGCCAGGGCAGCAGGGGTCGCCCATAATAAAGATCCTGCTCCTCTGAGCTGTGGCTCTGATACACCACCGGGTCATTATACTGTCCTCCCGGGTAGAAATAAAAATGCCGTACACATTGTGATTAAAGTTACATTTAAGAGTTGTTTACAGTTTTACCTGGGCCGAGGATTCAGGCCGTCATCGGGCGTATTTTTGTTGATTATTTGTGCAAGCAAATAACTTTGCTTTCAGTTGCGAGCAGTTTGGCACAAATATGGCTCCAACGATACAGACACAGTCTCAACGAGAGGACGGCCACAGGTAAGTTTTTAAAAAATAAGGTCTTTATAGTGTGGTTAAACTAGCTGCTGTCTACACTGTACAGTTTATGTCAACGTTAATGTTATAGAGTTAATGCCAAAGCGTCTACAAGAGGCTCACATGTCAGTTTTGTACAACGTTAGCTAACAATGCTAGGTAGTTAGCTAGCTAAATATAAGCAAGTGCCAAGTTAATTTATGCCAACCTGCTTGCTAAGGTATCTTAGCGCACTGAAATTACCACCGTTAGCGTTCATTGACTATGTAAGATAAGATAATTTAGTCTATCCAGCTAGTTGTAGTAACTTTAGCTAAATATAGAGACTAATAAACTGACTAACATTGTGTTAATGTTAGCTAACCGTTGTTCAGGATGACCGAGGTTAGCCTGTAACCAAGTAACGCACTCATTTTTGAGAACTGTGAAAAAAACAAACAAACGTATGCATCTTTTATTTATTCGTTTATTTATTTATCTTTATATTCTTTATTTGTCAATATAAAAGTCTCTTACAGTAGTTTAGCTACTTCCCATAGAATCAAAAGAAAAAAGAAAGTCTTTACTACCACTGTACATCCCTTTATTGGGCCAACCTCCCAGTGATTTATTTATTTTCTTAAATATTATTTTCTGCAGCTAAATTTTGTTGACTGTGTTGGGCACACAGTCTTGGTAGGCTATTGTATTATAAAACATGAATAATTTTTTTTAATCAAATACAGGATTATTTGATTAATTTAGCTGTATAATTGCAGTTTAAATTTGTATATTCAAGAAATAAATACCATTATAATGTTGTCCACTTACATTTTCTGTTAATAATGTAATTTGACTGTTATTTAGAACACAAAGACCACAAATTAGATGTACCACCGAATTTTGTTGTTGTCTTAAACTCACTTCATTTATCGGGATGAACATTTATTTAATGACTATACATATACATATATATGTATATATATGTATATGTGTGTATATATGTATATATATATATGTGTATATATATATATATATATATATATATTTAATCCATCTGACAGAAGTGACTTCTTTATGACAGAGCTGATCTCTAATAAAATAGAAAGCAGTACACAAACATTAAAAAAAAATAATTTACTCTTTTTGATGTTTTAGATTTTTATAGAAATCAGCTATGACATAGAAAACATTAAAAAAATGAAGTTGTGAGACTCTGTGACAAAACTGACCAACAACATTAAAACAATAACTGTGAAAGACCTATTTTGCTCTGCTGGAATTCAACAGACCATCAGTGACAACAAGGGATGTGACATTGTATTAAAATTTAATATTGCAATACAAAAATGTGACAACATATTTAGGTTAGTCAATTATTAAAGAGAACTGAGTTCTGTCACCTTCACCAGCATAGATGTCAGCTCAGTAAGACATCTGATGGAGTTGATGTCTTATGAATATTAGAGAAGCTTAAACAGAGCAGTGAATACCACAGTTGGACACTATCAGTGGGCTTTCACGTAAACATATCACAGTCTGACAAATGTCTGTTTTCTCTTTCAGTAGGCCGTCCTCTCACAGGACTGTTCCAGAGAGGTAAGTGGATTTAGCACTGTTAAATGTTTACAACCCCAATTCAAAAAAGGTTGGAATGCTGTGTAAAACATAAACAAAAACAGGATGCATTGATTTATAAATCCTTTCAGTATTCTACAGTGTTTCTAGAGCAGCTAGTACTGAACATGCAAACTGAAATGTGTAAGCTTCCTACATGAAGGAACCTATGTCTCTCAGTGTTCCGATGGGATTTTGGCCCATTCTTCCAACAGACAGTCTTAGGATCTACAGTCAAGCATTTACAAATCATTGCATTCTATTTTTATTGACTTTTTACACAATGCCCCAGCTTTTGGGAATCGGGGTGGTACAATTCTGTACACTCTGACTGTGCCTCTTTAAAAGTATCACAGAGGTATGCAAAACTGTGAATGTCCTGTACTTTCTTGCCCATTTCAGGTCAGGGGTGGTCTGTCGAGTGAAGTACTGCAACAGCCTGCCTGACATCCCTTTTGACCCCAAATTCATCACATATCCATTTGACCAGCACAGGTAAACATCCAGCCTCTCCATCCTTTGAGTACACACCAATGAACATGGGCACAGCTTGACATTTGTTTTTCTGTTGTGGCAGGTTTGTACAGTATAAAGCCACTTCTCTAGAGAAGCAGCACAAGCACGAGCTCCTGACTGAGCCCGACCTCGGGGTCACCATCGATCTCATCAACCCAGACACCTACCGTATTGACCCCAACAGTAAGCATCCAGTTGCAGTTACATGTCACAGTTTTTTCAGTGACTGCCCTGTTTTAACAAATGTCTTTGTAGACTGAACATATCTTTTATATTGTCAGTACTGTTGGATCCTGCTGATGAAAAACTGTTGGAAGAGGACATCCAGGCTCCATCCAGTTCAAAGCGGTAAGGCTGCGTAAGAGGCAGCTTTATGTTGTTATGGATTCATGTGAAGAGTTTCTGTTTAAACATTCTCTTTTGCCCTACAAGGTCACAGCAGCACGCCAAAGTGGTCCCGTGGATGAGAAAGACAGAATATATTTCTACAGAGTTCAACAGATATGGCGTTTCCAATGAGAAAGTGGAAGTTAAGTAAGTTTGCCAAATGTGTTCTCTTTGTAGTGACCTAATGGTAGATGATTTTGTGTGTGTATAATCTAGACATGTTTTGTGTTTAGGATCGGTGTATCTGTCAAACAGCAGTTCACAGAAGAAGAAATCTACAAGGACAGAGACAGCCAGATCTCTGCTATTGAGAAAACATTTGAGGATGCGCAGAAATCGGTGAGTGAGTGATAACGTGCCTGCCCAAATCTTTTTTGTTTAACAGCTTTTTTATATATTTCAAGTAAATTCAGGAAACAGTAGGTAAGACTTAGGGGGGTTTATTGGCATCTGGTGGTGAGGATTGCAGATTGCAAACAGATGAAACTTCTCCTGTTTAGGATTTCTCCAGTATCCATTGTTCAGGTGGCTTTTACTGGGAGCAAAATTATTGGCAGAGGTCTCCTCCACTCCAAAACAAATGGACCAGATTATAAAAACCAGTAAAATAATTGAATAAAGAAGTTTAACATGACAGTTCAGTGTATCTCCTATGCTGTTCAGCTTGTTGCAGACAGGCCACTAGCCCTGCACCTCCTAATGTGCATTTACCTCTTTCCTCTGATAATTCAATGCGCGCTCACCTCATTACTGATCCAGACATTCAGGAGGTTTTTACCATGATTGAAATTATCTGCAGAGGTCTCCTCCTCTCCAAAATAAACAAACAAGGTTATAGGTTATTTAGACTAGTAAAAAGATTGAATGAAGCAGTTTCACATTGAAAAAAATCAGTGTTTTTCCAACACTTTCATTGTGAAAGGGCTGCTAACTGTGGCGTCCTATGTGAAAATGTCAGTGTCTATGTAGAGCCAGTGTTTAATATGTCCTGTCTGGGCTACTGTAGAAACATGGCTGTGCAACATTGCCATGTCTGTGGATGAGGACCTGCTCCCTTTGTTAATATAAATGGCTCAATCTATGGTAATAAACATACAAGAATTCTTATTTTCAGGTCATTATACTTCAAAGAATACATACTTATTATATTATATTCCAGCTGTACCAGTATATCCCCCTAAATCCTACACACTGCTCCTTTAAAAAGTAAGACAGATGGTAGTTATAATAGTTTTCTTCAGGAGCTGATCCACAGCAACAGCTGAAGAAAACTATTATAACTACCATCTGTCTTACTGATTGTAATGGTCAGATGCAAATCAGCACATGAACCAAAAATGCAAACTATTTTGGCCCATTGAAAAATAAAATGTGCCAGAGTTTGTAAACATGTTGTTGTTTCATTCCAGATTTCACAGCACTACAGTAAACCCAGAGTTACTCCTGTGGAGATACTACCTGTGTTCCCAGACTTCAAGGTGAGATGTAATTTCACTCCACATATTGACCTTTAGCGTCTCTGTGAGAGAGTTCAAAACAATCTGTTGTTGCTCCAGTTGCTTGTTTTTGTCAATTTAAGATACTTTTTCTTACATACTGGCACTTATAATTATATTTTATACATGTTTTCTGTTTCCCCAGATGTGGATCAACCCATGTGCCCAGGTCATCTTTGACTCTGACCCTGCACCGAAAGACATGTCAGGACCAGCTGGCGTGGAAATGATGTCTCAGGCCATGATCAGGTATCAACAAAATATCTATGGCGTGAATGTATGTTAAAATGGTAACATGTTTGCATAAACACTAATTCCTTGTTTCTTCAATACAGAGGTATGATGGATGAGGAAGGAAATCAGTTTGTGGCCTACTTCCTGCCCAATGAAGAAACAATTCGCAAGCGCAAGAGAGACTTTGAGGAGGGAATGGATTACATGCCTGAGGATCTGTATGTAGAGATATTACATTACAGAAATCATCCATTTAAAAAAAATCACCTTGTTGCTTTGTTTCGCTTGTTTTAAGTTGTATATCAGGGAGTCATGCTGCATTTTATTTTCTGTGTTTCAGGTATGATTACAAGATAGCAAGGGAGTACAACTGGAACGTCAAGAACAAAGCCAGCAAGGGTTACGAGGAGAACTACTTCTTCATCTTCAGAGATGGAGATGGTGTTTACTACAACGAGCTGGAGACAAGGTAACTCACTGATCAGAGAAGAGACTTATTTGTTGTTGTACCTCGACTTTAGATTATAAAGTTTAGTGTAAATTAGCAATTCACAAAACAAACGGCACCACCTCCATGTGAAACGGTTAGGCTTTGTCCTCTGACAGCATGTTTTCTATCCTGCAGGGTGCGTCTGAGCAAGAGGAGAGCCAAGGCTGGAGCACAGTCCACCACAAACGCTGTGCTGGTGTGTAAGCACAGAGACATGAATGAGAAGGAGCTCGAAGCCCAGGTGAGTGTTCTCGTTACTTTAATCTTGTTCTTAAAGTTAGTTAGACTGAACTTCTCTTTTAGGTGATTGTACCGCTTATTGGACAGTACTTTTTGTTGGAAGGAGAACTTGGAATTAAGATTGATTGACTGAACTATTATTATTTTGTTATTTAACTAAAAGGTACTATTTATTTTATACCTTATATTTATTTAAAACCACAGAGGTATATGAAATGATATGTATCATAGGTTTTAGATTAAATATTGATGATTGCAATTGAGGGAGGTGATTTGTTAAAACCACAGTCATATTTAGATTAACTGCTATGCCGTCAGTGTGTGCCTGTGTTTTGTCATTAACAATATTTTACAACATGGCTCAATTAATCTAAATAAATGACTGGAACTGTTATATTTATATCATCATCTACAAGCTTTAGGGTTTCCACAGTTATGGAAATACTGGAAAAGTCATACATTTCAACAGTCCTGCTTTCCAGGCCTGGAAAAGTTATGGAATTCATAAAATCCTTTAAGGTTTTGGAAACGTTTGTTGTGTGGCATAATGGCAAATAAATCTTTCCTGTAGCTGTTAATGTAATATTGCTCGAATGTTTCATAGATAGATGATAACTGAGTTTTGTTTGAAAAGAATTTTATTACAATATTCAATCTAATTAAAAAAAAAGCCAGGCAAGTGGGCAAGAAAACAATGTTGTGAAAGTGTGATTTGATATCTAGGGTCATAAATGCCAAAGTTTCCATACCTGTGCACACTAATACTTTGAAGTTGTTCTGCATTGAGATTGAGCAATTGACCTGGGCAGCCTATGGTTTAATTGTTAGTCGGCGTGCCACTGTGCTCTAAAAAAACAACAAAATTGTTGGCTGTCATTCCCCTATTCTGGAAGCTCTACTTTCCATGGACTACCTTTAATATTATAAAAATCTGGAGTCAAGTGTACTATACAGTTCTGTTTGTGATTTAAGTTGTGAATGGTCATTGAAAATTTATTATGGGTCCTTTAAGTCATGGAAAAGCTTTGACATTTTGTCCATAAAAATGTACGTGAACCCTGAACTTGAAGTCTTGGACAGTAGTCGTGTACTGATGACTGATTCCCTTTCATTGTGACTCTCAGGAAGCCCGTAAAGCTCAGCTGGAGAACCATGAACCAGAGGACGAAGAGGAAGACATGGACATGGATAAGGACGTGCAGGACTCTGGTCAGTTTTCTTTTATTCTCGACCACTGCACCTTTTCATCATTTAATTTTTATTTATGTGGCCACTGGATATACTGTAGTAGTAGTAGTAGTAGTAGTTGTAGTAGTAGTAGTAGTAGTAGCTGTGATGCATTGATTACAGGTCTATATCGGTTTCTGTTTGTGACATCTGAATTGCTTTCTTTAGGTGATGACAAAGACAAGGGCAGCGGCAGCGAGGCAGAGAATTCTGGTAGTGAATCTGAGAGGGAAGACGAAGACCGGGAACAAAGAGGAGAGGAGGACGAAGAGGACGAGGACAGACAGAAGCGGAGGAGGAAGGCGAGCGGCAGCGGGAGAGAGAGTGGCGAGGAGAGGACCAGAGAAATGCGAGACGAGGAAGAGATCTTCGGCAGCGACGACGACAGCGACGAGGACAACGAGAACAACAAGAACTCAGCCAGAAGCAGCGGGGAAGAGGGCAGCGGGAGCGAGGATGAAGGAGGGAACAGAGGAGGCAGCAGGAGTCGCAGCGCCTCTCCGGCACACAGCGACCGCAGCAGTGACCACTCAGGGACCCGGGCTCAGAGTGGAAGTGGAAGTGAGAGAGGCTCAGACTCCAGTGATGCCAGTGACAGTGAATAAGGCCTGTGGTCCGGACAACATAGTGATGGCCACTTTTCTTACTTATATGTTCAGCACCAAATTTGGCCGAGTTGCCCTGTTGTTGACTGTAATATCAATATTAGCTCAGTCCTGGGATGTAGTTTCTTATGATCGCAAATATCAAGAAAAATATGTGTGCAGGATGCCGCGGACATTTTTTTTCAGTGCAGTTTTTAATTGTAGATTTAACTCTAGCACATGTAGCTATTCGTACACCAATTTTCTGTTTCTGTCTGTCAGATATTCAGTACAGAATCATGTGAAACTGTCTTTCTCCCCGCGGCTTTTGATTTGTCATTGTGTTACGGCTTTGAAACTGATATTAAAATGCAGGTGACATTTTGTAACAATCGCAGTTGTCAGAGTTATTGTTTTCCCTCTTTGACGGATATAGGGAAACCTAAGTAATCCCATAAATGTAATCATTTTACAATCACCCCAAAGAAGTACAGGACTGTTGTCTCTGCTCTATTTAAAAAATTGTGTAGCTGATGCTCAGTCCAGATTGTTCATGTCTAAAATGACTGTCAGTGCAAAATGGATAAATCAAAACTTCCTTTCATACAGTAAATCTTTTAATAGAAATATCATGCACAACAGTTGTAAACAAAAATCCACAGGCATGTTTCACAAAGAAAAACTGACAGCTTTGGAGACGCGTATTCAGCGAAAAAACGACAGGTGCTGCTTCAGCCATTCTTCTGTCACCTCATCGACACTTCTCGTTTCAAAGACCTCAGAGTAAAGCAGAGAATAAGACGTTCAAAATGTGAATAAGAAACCACAAAAACTGAAAGAAGCTCAGATATATAACTCATCACAAATCTATAAGCATGAATAACCTGCTAAGCAAGTTGCCAATCAACTTTAGTCGATTCAAAATTAGTTTGGGTTTGGTTTACATTCAGTAAGTCACAATGGAGTAATGATAAAACACACAGATCATAATTTGGAGATAATTACCTTTGTGAGCCCTACAGTTTTGACCAGTTCATTCTTGCTGCCTGCGTACATCATCTGTTGGTCTGGCTTACATCCTGTTAAAATGAAATTGACTTTGTTTTCACAGAGGTTCTTTAATTTAACCAAACATTCAAATCCAACAAATACCACCTTTATCGCTATAATACATTATAATAAAAAAGATTTCAGAAAAGACCCTGTTAAGTTGTACAACTGAGCTGATGCAGAACAATAATTAAATCTAAGGAGAAGGATTACTTTGATTTAAGATACTGCAGTTACATACCTGCTGGACTGGAGAATATGAAACAGAGAGGGTACGACACCCTCCCGTCGTCATGGACGTATTTGTAGCTGTAGACGATGAATGTACGCCACTGTCAAGGAATTTAAAACTTCTTTTCAGAGTTAAAACACTAGTGAATTTAAGGATTTTGCTGTATACACAAGACAGTAAAAGAAGGATATCTGGGTTGCCGCTCTGGAAGTTCCTCTCTCAAATCATCCGGTGAGATGTCCTAAAAGAAAAAGTCGGGTGATTTTTTTTAACACAGAATGAACCAACACCCATCCCCACCCCCCCCCAAAAAAAACAATCACAAAATTTGACTTGCCTCACATTCCTTGTCAAGGATGACAAGATGTTTCTCCATGTCTATTTTCACTAAGAAATAAAAATGATTGTTAAGGCTTTCAGTTCTGATTTACAACCCCAATTCCCAAAATGATGGGACATATAATGTTAGTAAAAACAGAATGCAATGATTTGTAAATCCTTTCTGACCTATATCAGCTATGGTGTTTACCCTGTGCAAAACATACATAAAAAGAATGAAATCATTTACAAGTCTTTTTGACCTTTATCCAATTGAGTACTGTTTGAGGACAAGATATTTAATGTTTAAACTGAACATGTTTCAAAAACGTTGGGACAGTGGCCTGTTTACCTCTGTTACATCTCTTATTTACTCAGTGTTTGGGAAGTGAGGACAGTACTTGTTGAAATTTTTAAAGTGAAATTCGTGCTTGACACATGACTTAAGTTGCACAACAGTCCGGGGTCTCCATTGTCGCAGTTTGTCTTTCATAATGCACTGCACATTTTAAATAGGAGACAGGTCTGGACAGTGGGGAGACCAGTTTAGTATCTGCACTCTTTTACTGTGAAGCCAGGCTGTTGTAACGTGCAGAATGTGGCTTGGCACTGTCTTGCTGAAATAAGCAAGAATGTCCCTGAAAAAGACAAAAGACATTGTCTGGATGGCAGCGTATGTTGTTCCAAAACCTGTATGTAGCTGTCAGTACTCATGGCACCTTCACAGATGTGCAAGTTACTCATGATGCCATGAGCACTAACACACATGCAGATGCTGACTTTTTAAACTTTGTGCTGGTAACAATGATGGCCCTTTTCCTCTTAAGTACGGAGGACACCACATCCAATTTGAAATGTGGACTCATCAGACCACAGTGCACTTTCCCACTTTGTGTCAGTCCATCTCAGATGAGCTTTGGCCCAGAGAAATATACCTTTCACTTTGCATGGAAGAGTCTGAAAGTGTTACTGACAATGGTTTTCCAAAGTGTTCCCGAGCCCATGTAGTAATATCCTTTATACCAGTGGTTACCACCTGGTGGGTCATGGTCCAAAAGTGGGGCACAGGTCCCTTTTGAATGGACCGCAAGTGACACACAAACATGTCAGCTTTGTAAAAAACACACTTTATCTTTAATAGAGTGAATTTCCGACACAGAGTTTTTATTTTGTAGCGCCGTTCCCTGCTGTAGATTGAGTGAAAAGCGGACAGCTACTTGACAGAAACAGCAAACTAGCTCAACAACATGGCCAAACACAAGTATGACGCTGAATGCATTTAACTGCGTGGACTTTGAACTTTTGACTAAGGAGAAATCTGGACCCTGTGGCTGGACCAGTTGGAAACCACTGCTTTAAACAGTCATGTTGTTTTTTAATGCAGTGCCACCTTAGGGGCCAAATGTTGCGGCCATTTAATTCTGGTTTTCAGCCTTGCCCTTTTACATGCAAGGATTTCTCCAGATTCTCTGAATGTTTTGATGAAAGCCCTGAATTCCCTGCAACTAGTCATTGAGAAATGTTCCAAAGCTGTTGGCCTATTTGCCCGTGCAGTTTTTCATAAAAGTCACCATCGTTGCTTGTGACAACTGAACCTTATGAGGATGCCTCTCTTAAACCCAGTCATGATATTTTCATGTGATACCAATTAACCTGTTTACCTGTGGAATGTTTGAAACTGGTGTTTTCCACAGCGTTCCCAGTCTTTTATTGCCCCTGTCCCAACTTTTTTTGGAACATGTTGCACACATCAAATTCAGAATAAGTGTATATTTACAAAAAACAATACAGTTCAGTGTTGCATTAAATATATTGTCGTCATACTGCATTCAAATGGATTGAAGTTAAAAAAAGATTTGCACATTCTCTTTTTTTACCTCTTACACAGCATCCCATCTATTTTGGAACTGGGGTTATATTGTTTGTGTGGACATATGCAAGTAACTATGACATTAATAATGAGAGTGTGATACCTACTGAGTATGGCAGCATTGGTGGTCTCTTTTCGAAACCTAAACTTTTCCAGTTTAGTTTTCAGACTTTCATCCACCTCACACACAACCAGAGTGCTTGTCTGCAAAATGGCACAAAAAAAATCACTCAAAACCAAGAAACATGATAACAGCTCCTGGGCTTGTGATAAAGTTATGTGGATTGGTCTACAGGCCAGAAATAGAAACAAAGAAAGGGGGTAAGAGAAATCTGTTCAGATGCTGAGGTCTCTATCCACCTTCCGTGGATACATTAAACATTCATAACTATTCTGACATATTGAGGGCAGGAAAGGTTTTTGCTGCAACATGCAAGAATGCAGTTTCCTGTGTGAAACAGCGCGGGCGATGGTCGGCTTGTGTCGCAATGGCACAGTGAAGAAAAACAAATACACACATAGCCTACATATGAATGACACTTTATCACATCCAATAAAATTCAACAAAACAAGCAAAACATTTCGAGCAATTGCATCAGTTTCACCTACCATCCTCAAAAAGTGCTCCTTTTCTGCCTGCCTGTCTTCCGGGTGACACTTTCTTGTTGAAACAAACTCGCGACAGACTGACAACTTCTCTCCGACTGTCAAGAGCCTCCTCAAGATGACAGGGGAAATGCAGGCACGCTGGTGGAGCAAGCACCAGTGCTGCTTCCTGTTTTCAACTACATAACGTGTGACAGCAGTGTGCAGGCTCAGCCCAGTGTTGTATACAAGACCCTGAATGCATCAAGGGAAGAAATACATGATAAACGTATGGATGTTAGTGACAGTGGAGATAGTGTTTAATAAATTAATAATATTTAAAGTGTAGGAGGCTCAGTTTTACCATATGTTGTTTAACACAGACAGCGATGTGGTTTCATTGGTGCCCTTTGGGTTACTTTCACTTCCTATTAAGATACAGGCATGAACATAAAATAGAAACATGTAGAGCTCGAAAGTTTCCTCATATCCTTCAAACTAATAATAACACTGTACGGTAAGTTTACATTTTTCATGTGAGAAAAAGTATCTTAATATATGGAGTAAATCATAGGCATCAAAAGTGAAATGTCTCTGTCTCCTGTCAGATTATAACACTACTATTACTGCTCTCTGATGGTGGAAAATGTAGGCAAGCTGCAGCTCTGGCCCCACCCTAGTAACTAGTTATGGAGGTAACTAGTTATTTGTCATAGTAATTACTAAAAAAAGATTGTAATCAATTGCAGTCACTATGAAAAAAATATATAATTAAATTACAGTTACTAATCAAAATGCTGATGATTACAAAGGTGTTTTTTTTTTCTTTTGGTGTAGCCATTTTTTAGCTTTATTGTCCAGTTTAAAATATTTGTTAGAGGAGTATTAATAATAACATTTACAATAATAATAATCTCTATTTATATGGCACCTTCATTACAAAAAGTGCAGTGCTTGAGGTGCTTTTCAATAAGGGCAGTATAAACACTTAATGCTTCACATTATATAGACATAATGGACATAAAACAGACAAGGCAATTTAATATAAAAGGAAATCTAAAACAGTTTAAAACATGGATTAACTGATTCATAAAATCATAGAGTTGTAAAACTATAAATCATAAGTGTAAAAAGAAAGAGTTTCAGACCTGCATTGGGAATGGCAGAGCTAGTTAAAGGCTAAAGTAAACAGGTTCTTTTTTAGCTTTCTTTTAAAAATATTTAGTGAGCTATATGTAGTGATAGCTGATATATGTAGTGTTCTATAGCTTTGGGATGTAATTGACAAAGGCTTCATCCCTCATCTTCTCCTGGCTGTTACTGGAAACCTCCAGTAAA